AGGCCATTATAGAAATCAGTGTGGTGGTCCCTCAGCAAGTAGAAATTGATCTACCTCAAGATTCAGCTTTACCACTCCCAGGCATATATCCAAAGGATGATTCATCTTACTACAGAAACACTTGATCAACCATGTTCACTGTGGCTCCATTCATAATATCCAGAAATTAGAAACAAGAAAGATGTCTGTCAACAGAAGAATGGGGTAAAGAAAACTTGGTACATTTACATAATTAAGTATTACTCAGCTTCTTAAAAAAATAAAATTCTCTGGCAAATGGGTGGAACTAGAAAAAAAAAATCCTGATTGATGTAGCCTAGACTCAGAAAGACAAATATGGTATGCATTTGCTTATATGTGAATATTAGTTATTAAGTCAATGATAACCAAGCTCCAATCCATGGAACCATAGAGGGTAGATATAGTAGACTAAGGGACTAGAGGGAACAGATACGATCTCTCTAAGAAAGTAGAATAGATAGATATGGATGAAACCGGGGCTTGACTTGGTAGATCAAATAGGGAGCAGTGCTGTAAGAACTCCTTCAGCCTGTAGCCTTTAAATTACCAGCTAATTTGGGCCTGGCCTCATTTATAAAATGAATGCCGATGTAAAGCAAACACTTGCTCTCTTCTGGCTGCTGGATTTGTTTCCCTTACCCTGTTCATGCAGAGATCTGTGATCTGTGAATCTACCCCTAAATAAATAATTCTTTATTATATTCAATTCTGAACTAGTGTGGGATTTCTTTTTAGTGTCCTTCTTCAGAGGGGGAGGAGGAAAGGGGATGTGTTAAGGACTGTGGAAAGGTACAACTATGTGGTTCTGCTTCTTTCTTGAGACTGTAGACGGCATTGGTCCACAAGGATGGGAACAGAGTGGAAATGGCGATGGGTATAAATGGAGATAGCCCTCCGAGTATCTGGTTTCAAGAAAGAGCTCAGCTTCATTCCAGAATATAAATATATAAGATTGGGATCCTGGGGACAAACACTAATTTGCATTAATTTGCATGCTTCTATCACAAGGTTTCCTATGTGGCAGTCGGCTCCTATTGCGGAGTCCTAGCACAAATCTTTTAGCAGGAATCTGTGCCAAGAGTCAAGCTAAAGATAAATCAGGCATCTGGTTTAGAGATAGCTGTCAGATAAGGCCAGGTCTCCAGGGATGTTCTCCACATAAGTACAGGTAGAGGCAAGAAGTTCTGCTGGGGAGGGAGGGTGTTTCATGTTGCTAATGTATTGGGACAATCTGCCAGACCATGAGAGACTGCCTCCTCTACCAGCCAACATAAACCTTCCAACATAACTAAACTTAATAGAATAGAAACTTCCTAAAATACATATGTATAAGAAGGTAATCTAAATGAACTTGCAAATATTGGGGGAGACAGAGTCTCAACAGTCCATGTCTTATCTCTAAGTCAAGCTTCCAGTAACAGGACTGAGTCACATCTAGTTGAGTTATTGGACCAAGGGATCCCATGGGAAACTCCAAACAACCTAGGCTGTTGCCAAGACTGGTGCGGGAGAATTGTCTGTATTCTGTCAATCATGTTTTAAATAAATGCTGATTGGCCAGGCAGGAGGTATAGGTGGGAAAACCAGACAGGAAGTGGAAATGATGCAAGGAGAGCAGGAAAATTCTGGCAAGGAGGAAGCTGATTCCTCCCACTCCTGCCCAGACCAGCAGTATGTGATCTGCCCCACTGAAAAAGATACTGAGCCACATGGCTAATGTAGATAAGAAAAATGGGTTAATCAAGATATGAGAGTTAACTAATATGTAGCCTGACCTAATGGGCCAATCAGCTTTATAACTAATAGAGATCTTTGTGTGATTTTCTCTGGGACTAAACAGCTGTGGGGTACTGGGCGGCTTCCTCCATGTTACACAAGACTATGTGTTACTCTCCGCAAACTGACAGCAAAATCCTATTGCTGAAGACAATACCTGCACAATTCATTGAACATGGAGATGCAGAGCTGTTTCCTACATAGAACCTTCACCGTTACTTCCCAGTGTCTGGTAAAGGAAGGTACTTCGTATGCTATCATAAAAAATACAAAACATAAACAACAAGAAAACCCTAAACCCCTTTTCTACAATGATGATGCTCCTGCAAGATATACTAGGGCAATGTTGACACAAAGTTTGTGGAAATAGCCTATGAACAACTGATCTGACTTAAGGCACACTCCGTGAGATGAAACCCATACCTGACACTGATTGGGTGACCAAGAACCTGAAACTAGATATTTCAGGGATTTGGGGTGCGACCAAATAATAGTTGTCTAAAAGGAAAAAAAAATATGCACTGATAAAATATTCTGATATACTATACTAGTAGATCAGTGCCTTGTTCAGCCATTATCAGAAAAGTTTTCTTTTGCAGGAGATGGAAGCAAACACAGAATAGTATGTACTCTTAGTTATTGAGTCGTATTTACATTACCATTTTTATACCATTTTGTAGTATTCTCAGATTTTGTGTTGCCTATACTATCTTTCAATCTATTATGTGGTATATTCATCCTAATAATAATATGATAAGTAAATGGGAACAAATGCTTTTATTTTATGTTTTATCTCAATACTAAATGCACTGTTCATGTTTTTTTCTTGAAAATTTTATGTGTATATAATGGTTCTTGATCAAGTTCCCTTCGAACTAACTCCTCTCTTTCAATTCCCCTTGAACTCTTCAATCCATATCCCTTTCAATTTTTAATTTCAGGTTCTTCCCGTATTTTGTTGTTTTCCACCCAATGACTTTAATTAGTGTTGCTTTTATGCACATGGTGTGGAGTCATCCCCTGAGGCATAGGTAACATGCCAGTGACTAAACTGAAAGCAAAGCAATTCTTCCTCCCCCAGCAGTAGTGGAATAATCCTTTTGTATACTGTGAAAATGTGTCAGTCTGATTGGTTTAAAAATAGCTGAATTTCCAATATCTAAGCAGGATTTCCAGGCACAGAGGAAGCTGAGAAGAAGAGATGAGGTTTGAGAGGAAACACAGAGGAAGCATGCCATGTAGGAGATGAGATAACAAGCCATGGGCCATGTGTCAGCACATAAATGAATAGAAGTGGTTAATTTCCGTTAAAAGGGCTAGGTAGAAACAAGCCTAAGATATTGAGCAAGCTTACATAATTAATAAGTCCCCATATTGTGATGTCAGAGCTGGCATGCAGGAGGGAGAAATACTTGCAACACCCAACAGCCGTTATCAAGTAATAGCTCCTTTGCTGGTCATGGGGCCTCAGGTCCTCCTCTGACCTACATGATAGAATATCTAACTGGCTTGAACTTGTGTAGTTCATGTTCAGGTAAACAAAATTGCTCTTAATCCCTCTATGCAACAGCCATGTCTCTTTTCTGCAGACAGTATTTCCCAGCACTCGTCCTTGTCCTGATTCATATGTTTTTCCTACTCACCTTGATATTTCCTGAGTCTGTGGGGAGGTGTTGCTCTCAGTGTCCCATCTAAGGCCCAGAACTCACTTGCTTAATCTTAGCATGTTAAAATATACATGCATGCTTTCATCAGGCAAACAAAACACGTAACTAATCCTGGTTTGCTCTATCTCTATAGTTTTCCTATGAATCTGTGTCATCTTGAAAAATCATTTTGTATAGCACCCTATTAATTACAGGCAACTGAGTCTGTATTCATTTTATAAGAAACAAATCTTCAAACATTTGTTACATAGAATGAGTTGATTCATGCTTTTCTGTAAAGGTGCTCCCTGTGATTATGTCATCAGCAGAATAAATGAACCAACACTCAGGAGTTGTGTTTAACATCCTAAGCTTTGGGGGGGAAACGGCAAAATGTATGTAGCAAGCAGGTACTCCTAGACCCTGTTTTACTAATTCATCATGATTGCTTTTTCTAAGTGGATTTGATTTGTGCTAAATGACTGGCAGACATCCCACTATTTTTCTGCCTTCCTTGTCTTCACATATCATTTTGACATACACACACACAAACACACATACAAACTCACACACAAACACACAATATTTACTAATTTATAAATTTGTGATGTACCAGAAACATTGAATATTTTCATCGAAAGTTTCTTATCTTTTTCTTTATTGTTTAGTATTTGACTGATTGTAATCTAAAATGTCACCCAGTCTTTGATCTGCTGTGTTTTGATAAATAATACCATAAAAATTAAGATTACAATGTTATCTTATTTCGCATTCTTGCCCATGAATCATAATTGAGCTTAAGGAACAGTAAACCATTAAGTTAATTATACCTTCTAGCTAAATATGTTTATCTGAGTCTATGAATTGGAATGAAGTAATATTATTGAAGTTCAAATTTTCTTCTTTCCTTAACTCTGTATAGTACAATAATTGATGTATTATATTAGAACATGCAGCTCTATCAGGTAATGGAATAGAAATGTATGTACATTGTCCACGTGGAATACTAGAATTTCATCTGCATGAATATTTTGTTCAATACTAAATCTCCTAAACTAGAATAGTAACTCGTTTAACACAAACATCCAATATCTATAGTACTGGAAATAAATGTCCAGGCAGAAATTTACTGAATTAACAGATATAGTGTAAATTACATGTTGGTCAAGGCAATTAATACCTGCCATAAATAAAACTTTAAGAACACACATTTAAACGTATTTACTATATACAAATAAGTTAGAAAACATTTGTTAATCTTGGTAATTTTCTTGCCCTGTATTCTTTCCATATTTGAATTTGTTGTTAACTTAGTTGCTTTCCTGTAATTCTGAATGATGACAGTATAAAAAACGTTTAACTTCAAGATCATGGTTTTAGGCTAAATAGCTATATGTAATTTGATTTGTAGTCGTTCATGATAACCTCAGTGTAATTATTATTATTCATACAAAATTTTCATAGACAAAGTTATTCAATTATTTTTCAATTAGTCTTATTAAGAACTATAGGTAACTATTTTAAGAAATACATAATCAGAATAAATCTTAAAAATGCTATTCTTTTGGAAAGAAAATTATTTATTTTGCAATATTTTAACAAGTGAACAAGTTAAGCTTAACCAACCAACAAAAATAATCTTAACTCTCCTTAAGATACTAACAATTATGGTTTAGAAACTGAAAAATAACTCACAAAGCCTTTCTTGACTTGGTTGTTGTGGTATGTCATTTTCCAGAATCACGAAACAAACTAAAAACTCCCCATGCTACTATGGATGCCAGAAAATCATTAAGGAGTTGCTTACTTTGGTTACAAGATTCTTTATTTTGTAAACTATACATAAACAGTAAAAAAAAGAGAATGCATTATAGCTTAAATATTACATATGGTCAACACTGAAGTTTTCATTTAATGTATAGAAATTAGATGGAACAAGTTCACCAAATTTATGTCTATGAATAATAATCCAGGAAATCTGTAAATTCACTGTTGAAGTGAAAGATACCAATATGTAAAATTCAACAGGTTTTCCCATTTCTGTTCTGAGCACAAAACTATGGTCTCATATACCCAAAGGAGGTGGTATGTCAAAATGTCTACACAATTAATGAACATGCTAACTGATGTATAGTGAACAAAATAATTTTTGTTACAGTAAAATCTTAAATGCTACTTTTCACAATAATTATAAACAAGTCCATATGGGATTGTGTAACAATAGAAAAAAAGAAAGAAACATATTCCATTTTCTTCATTCCAGCAGTATCTTTAATAGCAATAATTTGTTAATTATGTGTGCTTAAATATTGCCTAATATCCTATACCAGTATGCATGCTGATCCTTTCTATCTCTATTTTTGCAAGGCACCATACAACACATTCTCTAATTCCAGTACTACTAACAAAAATGTCATGATTCCAAGATTAAACACAAAATTTTATATTAAATAAAAAATGAGAATTCATATTTTCATATTTGATCTTCAGTCAAATGAAATATATATAATTAAGAAGTGGTTGAGATGAATCTTTTTCTTCCTAAATAAAATTATGGACCCAGATGCTCATTGGAAAGATAGAAAAGTCTAGAAATAATGTTGTTTAACAATATTTTTATAAATCTACCTGATACATAATGCAATTTGCATTAAAAAGTAGGAAGAAAAACTTTTATCTCGCAGAATCCATAGTTTTCCATAGTTAACATTACAAAATGATCTAAACATATCCAGAATGACTTCATAATTAAAAAAATCACCACTTAATAAATACTCAGTAGTGGTAACTTTGTCTTACCATGTGTCACCTTTCTTCCTCTCCCTGCCAGAAGTTTGGGAAGATGCCCAATTTGAATTGAAGGAAACATCATGCATTAATTGATAAAATCCTTATAATTTAGGTCATTAGTAAGTTATTATAAATTTAACTTATTAAATCTGTCATAAAACCAACACATATGATCCTAAGCACACAATCATTGGTTTTTGTTTGTGAAACAATTACATAATTTGTTCTTATAAAAATTTTGTTATGATAGTCTTCACAACTTTCTCTATTCAGGCTACAACCCATATGTGTTTTCTTTTTTTCTAAGGCATATAAAAACCAAAATTAAATAATTCTTATTTAAACATAATGTTCTATGACTTTAGCTTCAATATTCGAAATAATTATACAAAATATATGTGGGGTTTAGAATCACTTTGTTCAGGGATAAGAAGGAAATTCTCAATATGCTATTATTTTGTAAATATTAAAAATTTAGACATTGCTGACTTTTGCTGTAACTGGTCAAATATATCCATCATGGTCATCTCCATCATCATCATCATCCCCTTCATCTTCATCATCATCTTCAATATCATCCTTATCATTCATAATGTCATCTTCTTCACCTTCATCATCAGTCCATTCACGGAAATCTCCACTTGCAAAATCTCCAGAAATTTCAAAATCTATAGCTACAAAAGCAAGCACCAGATTTATTTGGCTAAGAAATGAGTTCTGAATTATATAAAACAAAAAAATTTGCTGTTTCTCTCAATGAAAATAAGAGAAAAATCTCTTTTTGGGAAGACTGTTGTGTGGTAAAACTCTGACTTGTTAAAATGTTTATCCTCAAAGCACTGCACAGTGTAAGATTTCCAATTCAGTAAATTTGATCTCAGCCCAAGTTTTGTAGAATTCCATGACAGACTAAGAGTCTTATATACTTCTCTAAATTACTCCTACAAGTATATGAGGTGGAACTGTTATCACAGTGAAATAAACACTTTCTAAATCTAAATTTCGAATTAATATTATAAGGCAATTTATAAATATGATTCAACTACTGATCTTGTAGCAGGAGACTATCCTGGGCAATTTCACTATCATTTCCTTCTAGTTAATCATTTTTTCTTAGAAAATTATAATTAAGAGATGTAACTATAAAAGTATGTTCAAAAAGATTTCAAGGTTTTGATATTCAAATTGGAGGGAAAGATACATAATAAAAGCATATCAGAAAATTCTAGAAGACCAAAGAGTCAAGGAAATTGATTTTTCTAAAAAATCTCTAGAAATAGCAATAACTTACTAAAATATTGATGCTTAGTTTAGAGATCTGTTGTAATGTGTCATGAAGAATTGAAAGATAATAAACATGTGCTGATTAAGCCAGCATCTTTGTAAGATTGATTTCTCTGTTGTTACTAGAACAACAGAAAATTAATACTCATATTAACTTAAAGTCAGCTATTAATATTTCTAGAGATAGCAACACTCATAGATTCATTATAACTGTAATAAATATTAAGTCTTCATGTGATTTTTTTGTCTTAATTTTTGTCTGCCTTTTTTGTCTTAATTTTTATAATTCCTATTAATGTATTTATATAGCTATAAATTGGTTGATTTCATATAATACTGAAATTGCCATTTTTAGGAACAATAAACTGTTTCTTAAATTAATGTATTATATTTGCAGTAGTATAAGAAAACCAACCCAGCAATAAACTTTCCAAAATAATTTTTCTCACTTATTGTAATCAATGGCATATATTTTTCATTAGTAGCATAAAAATAAAAATACTTTATCCATTACTATTATCACAGGTAGATGAAGCCATAAATTATGTAAGTATTTTAAGATTTATATTTTAAAGATATGTTCTATAGTTCTTAATACTGTGTAAGGTAGGTATTGAATCCTAGTTGCTGCTTTGATCAAATGGGTGTAAGGCCCCAACACCCAAATCAAGCTATAAAATGTTATAGAATAAATAAATGCAAGGCAGGAAGGTACAATTATGTAAGATTATTTGTTATAATCTACCACTTGTTTCTTATTAAATAATCCTTGTTTATTAGTCTACAAATTGCATAAGAGAAACATGCTATTACTGACTACTTAATTTTCATGATTTTTATTGAAATAGTGAGAATAAACCCATTAGATCTGCTCTATGGTTTTGTTTTAAGAAATTACTTCTCTCTTTTCTGTGACCAATCTGACAAATATGATAAAATGGAGTAATGGCTAACTGGGGCTAAATTTTAGAGGGTATGATCCATCACAGCAGGGAATCATGGTGGCTGGAATAATAAGAACATTGGGAAGCGATTTTGAAGTTATGGCAGATGCATCCTAAGTGGCAAACCAGAAAGTGGATATCCATGCTGAAGCTGGCCTCGGCCCTAACATGCAGTGTCCAATAGACTACACACCCTAAAAGCTCCATAAGTTCCCAAATAACATCAAAATTTGGGGACCAAATGTTTAATCATAACAGCATGATAAGTTTGCATTTAAACCATTGTAGAGGTTGGGAGGGTACTATAGTAAGGTGTTCTGTATAGTTAAATTTCTGTTCAACACGAACACTGATTTGAATCTTACTTTCTGGAAAAATTTTTGATAAAAGTTGAAAACTTTAAAATACATATAATGCCAAATTCTTACATCATCTTTATATAGACACATAAAATACATGTTCATAAAATAATTAGAACTTTAACTAAAACTATCATTTAACATATAAATGATGCTTTTCATATGTAAACATAGGAAACAAGTAATGTGTTAGTCTATCTCACACTTTATAGTGTTGAAATTGTGCGTTGTTTGGGTTGGTTTCATTTGGTCTGGTGGATGAGGGTCATATTACATAAAGCATTTCCTTCAGAGGACTACAGGCATCCTCTCCACGTGGATCTGCAGACACTATGCACTATGTTTTACAGACTTAGATTAATGAGAATGTCTTCTTTATCTGTATGGGAAGGACTATGCACCTATATTTTACAGACTTAGAACGAGAGATGTTTGCTTTGTTTGTAACAGACATTTTAACTTGAAGTAGGAATTGGAACGAAGCTTTTATTAATTCTCTTCTATATACTTAAATGTATCTGTTTTGTATATTTTTATTGTTAGCATAGAAATTTACAATACACAAAGACCAAGACTTCTTTTCACCCCTAATATTCATATATATTCTACGTATTTGATAATCAAAATAGAGTAGGGCTTTGTTAAATACTTGAACAAGTTCTTGAGCCTTTGACATATTTAATTGTGAGCCTTTCTCTTACCACAATCTGCAACACCATTTATTCTGGATCCTATGACTTCATTTCCATATCTGTCAACACACCAGCACTGGCCAACACTGCCATGGCATTGTGTAGGCTTGTAGTAACCATCTTCATCACAGAGAGGAATGTACTGTCCTGTGAAATGAATGGTCACATACACAAATGCAAAAACTTTGTTAATAACGTGTATTTTTTGGTGGTTGTTATGTTTAATGTCCTAAATCAAAACATGGCTGATTCTACGCTTATATTAAATCATTCAGAACATTTAGTATGGCATTTAAAACTCTCAACTGTCTTATTATTGACAATTTCTTGGTTTTTTTCCTATACATTCATTTATACCTTCCAAAAATTATTACATGTCAAGCTGTTTTTCTCCAATATAGTTTTACTTTGCTTATGCCAAATAAAATCATCTTCTAATCCTACACTTTTCATGTTAAGGTTTAAATATGAGAGTGTGACTTACAGTACAAATTCATCTGTGTGTGTGTGTATGTATGTGTGTGCATGTGTGTGTGTACATATGTGAATGTCTCTGTGTCTAATGCCATTATATATTTCTACCATTGCATATTCTGTGGTATCTCCTCTGCTTGCAAATATTAGGGTCTCTTGGTTTGTATAATAGTGAAAGTCTAGCCAATAAATGCTGGGAAAAAAGCTACTCCTGCTAATAGAACCTGACATAGCCACACAGCACATGTGTAGTAATTAATGTTTAGTTCTTTATAAGCTTAGTAAAATTCTTCAATAAATACTCCAGTCTTAGCCACAACTTCTAGATGATCAGATATTTTCCTTTGTCCCCCACTTATTCTTTTATATGAACAGAATAGTCATAGACTTTTGATTAAAAAACATGTAGTATACAGACAAAATATAAATGTCTTTTTCTATTACCACCTGTGGAATGGTAATTTTACACCATACAAAGCTTCATAAGTCTATTAAATATATGATATGTTCAATCCAAATATAATTCATTTGAAATATGTGAACGACATGGACCAATTTACCAATGTGGAAAATTTGTGAATTTACGCTACAGACTTAAGGCCATGAAATACAAGAATATTTTTTTTGTAAGAGCCACATATTTAAAATATTATGATGTTACAATTGTTGTTTTTTTTTTAATTGTCAGAAACTTTGAAGAGATCACAGGTAAGTATAGCCCTTGCACTACTGGCCTGATTGCAAATTGATCTTCATATTGAAACACAGAATGCCTTATCCTGACAGAAAAGCTGTACAATTTAGGTATACATCATGACCTTACCCTATTCAGAAAGAACAGTTAAGGCACCCAGTGTTCTAATATCTACTTTCTTGAATCATGAAAGTAGAGTAAGGGAAATCTTCCCAGGTGGCCATTTAATGTGATTTTGAAAAGAAATTCAAAGAAGGAAAGTCGACAGTCTTACGGATTCCAGTATTCCTCGCCCTTAATCAACTCTAAATTATTTCCTTGATGTCAATGGTGTTCTTTCACTGTATGACATACAACGTTGGATTATAGAAACATACTCATGCATTGGTCTATTATTTGCAGTCATGACTTCTGTCATCGCAAGCAGCTAGCCACCGTTTAAAAAGACAATTGTTCTGCTAGTTTGTTTTTTATCATTATCAGTTTGTCACCTAAAGCATTTTATGACCAACGATTTAATTGAATGATGAGCCCTGGGACAAGAATTCTGTAGCAATATGAAAATGTTCCAATTTAAAGTTATTGTACTTTAATTGTATAGATTCTATATAAAATAACGTGTATTACTCAGACTCTGAGACTTTGTAAAGTCTTAAAATATGAATGCTTCAATATATACTCACAATGTTCTGCGTACTGTGAAAATACAAACGTACTTACTGGGCTAAAATATGAACAGTGGCTGAACTGACCAAATCTAACTTAAATTCTAGCAATAATAATTGATTAGATTTTACAAATGAGCTATGATAATTTACAGAATGTAAAGGGGAGGAAAGAGCCAGATGAAGGATGTGTAGGATATAGTTTCTATTTTAGAAATGTTTCCAATTTAAAATGACTTCAAATGATATTTATTAATAACGTGTAATTATAGGTATATATATACTTTAAGGAAATGTAACAGCATTGCGATATATTGATAGTCAATTATTAAAAATATTTTTAGAGTTTAGTTAAAATATACAATTATCATCTATCTATCTATCTATCTATCTATCTATCTATCTATCTATCTATCTATCATCTATCTATCTTTTTCTCTTTCTTTCTCTCTTTATGTACCTATTATCTATCTACCACCTACATTTGTATCAAAATTTTCTTACTAAAATCTACAGTTAGAAATTTAAAAATGATAACCACTAAAAGTCCTGCTCCCGATTTCTAAATTAGAGAACTTTTTACTCCATGTGTCTAATCCCTTGCTTATATTTAATATAGGTAATGATGTATGATGTCACCAGTTGTTAAACATTTAAGCACAGAAATGGATATTTTTGCTGATTTGTAAATTTAGTATTGCTTAAATCCTTTTGTCTTTAACAGCTTTCAAAATGAACATGATATTGGAGCAATAAAACAGACATATCCTTCAATAAGTGTGGTAATAAAAGTAATGACTTTCCAAAAGTTCATAAATTTTGCTGATGAAATTTAACACAGTCAGGCTTTGTTGGATTAATATTGATTTTATGTTGTTGCTTCCCTGGGGTTATTTATATAATCAATAAAACTTCCAGAAGAATGAACTGTGACTCACCTAGGAACTTCTTTATCCCTTGTCGCTTCTGAATGTTGCTGAGCTCTGTCTGGCAAGGTGGGTCTGCAATGACATTAAACACAATACTTCCAGGATTTCGTTAAGCAAGAAATGTGCACCTGCCAAACTCTCAACCTCACGGAAGTTTTTCATCTCACGAGAAGATGCATGCTATTCATTTGTTATTATAGCAGCACATGGATATATATGTGTGGATATCATAATAAACATGTACACCAAAATAGCTATGTACAGTACATGATGTAGCATAATGATTTGCAACATAATTACATAAATTTAATTGTTTTTCATTATAAAATAATCTATGAAAACCATACTGCTTCTTCCAAGTCATATTAGACATTTACCCATTTTGTTTTTGTATGTTGTTACTGTGTATCTTTGTCTTTCTAGTTATACAAAGGCTTCAGATGTGTAATAATTTAAGAAGAAAATACAATATAAACTGTCATAAGTCAAGATTCAAAAAAAACCTTAGAATATGCAAGTCAAAGTCTAAGTATATATTTTATGTTGTATTAAATATAGGTGATTCAAATGAGCACATGCATGTATAGAGAATTTGAATAGTCTAAATAGTTAAAAATACCATATGTATTATTGTAATTTAAAATGTTTGTTCAAAAGTTAACTGAATGCCATCAGAACAAATAAGTTTTATCTTTGAGAAAGGTAGATATTGAAAAATATTATATCTGACATGGGACACAAAAATATCAAACTAATTCTTATTCTTGTACACTATATACTCTCTGTAAAAAGATTAAATACTTAATACAATTCAAATAATTTTGAAATTGTTTACTATGCCAACTGCAAAATAATTCAATCATTAAAAAGATAGCAGAAAGAAAGAATACTTAATGTGTTTAAATTGTATATTATCTAGATCAGTACATGAGAACAGAAATATTGTATCTTACGGGAAGAAAAAGTAATTTATTCTCAAATACTATGTAACTTACTTTGTTGTTTTAGTTCATTTTTAAATTGATGTGATTTAACTTTTCCATAAAACAAAGACTATAAATTAAGATACACTGTAATGTCAAATAAAATTCTTGGTCTCGTTACTTACTGACATAACATTAACCAAGCTTTCCAATTTTATTAAAAATAGTTCTTTAATGTGCTGTAAAGGAGAAATGGATTTTTTTTACTTTTACTAAATAAATGTGGAGATTTATACTGATATGCACCCGAAATTCCACCTACTTTTGAATGTGTTTTAGAAAAAGGTTTTAAAATAATTTTAAAATTAAATTTTTGATAATTTCAATTCAAACATTTTCATACAATTTTATATGTACCATTCCCAATTTTTAGACTGTCATGATTACTATGCACCATCACATTCAATGAACTTAGCTTTGTAGATTTTACACGTATGTTCACATCTATGTATTTTTCAGTACTCATGAATAAACATGGAAAACATATTATAACAAACAACAAAATATAAACAGCAAATGTTAAAATACAGAAAAGTATGACAAGTATGAACAAATACATTTTAATAATAATATACTTGAATTTACTATGTAAACGTACTTACTAATTAAGGTACACTAGCTATTAATGACTAGAATGCATTTTAGGGAGTCCTGTTTACATAGGATGCATATGAAATTAAGCCAATAATCTGTATTTGTAAGTGTGTGCAATTTAAAATATTTAATAATGTATTTCAAAGTTAATTTTTTGCTTCTTCTTTTTTATTAAAAATAGATATTTTTAAAAGAAAATAAACTCTGATTGTGATTTTCTTTCTTTCAGCTCTTCCCAGATCCTCCACACTTCCGTCCTCACCTATGTTGTTTAACCTTAAGCTGGTTAAAAGATGATTATGGCCTCTTCCTTAAATAAACATATGGTGGATTTACTTCTTATCAATATGTAGACAATTATTTTCTCCTCAATTTTTGGACTATTATTAAATGTACACAGTTTACTTAGCAAAGCAATCCCTATAATAGTTTATGAAGTATGGTAATAATTGTTTATATCTTGTTCATTCTTTCATCTTTCATCAAGTTTAAAAAGTATAGCCAATATTAGCTGTACTATAGCAATCTGTTTCCAGTTGATTCAGTTAGCACAAACATAATAATAATTCCTTTGTTTTCAAAATATTTATTATAATGTGAAGCATTTTTATGTGTTTTCCCTGCATGTATTTAATATATAACATGTTTAAATTCAATCCAAAAGTATGATTCTAAATTTTAAGTGAATTTTTATCTCAATTAGATTTGCAGGGATTTGAGGTGGCACCTGGGAGGAACTGAAGAGAAGAAAGAGAAAAGGGAATGTGAGGTAATTATATAAAAATGTGTAATTTATTCTAAAGGGCATACAAAGGACATTGTTGCTCTTCCTTTGGTCTCACTTCTCACACAATTCTGGAATATTCTCTCACTAGTGAATTTTTAACAAGCTAAACTATTTTGGCAAGATTGAAAGACCAAGTAATTTTGAAAATAAAATGAGTAAAAATAACTTCACATGAATACCGTTGTTCATGCAACTCATTTAATAAGATCACGAAATGAAACATTAAAACTCCACGGTATAGTGATAAAAACTCCATTTATTTTACACTGTAGGCAAAGCAGATAGCAAATTAATTTCAATGATTAGTTTTAATATCTATGTTCTCACATCTCTGTGTGGTGCTTGCTGGTTCCTAATGGAAACTATAATGGAATGCATTAATATAAAATATTAATTACTATTTCTATCTTATTTAGAATATTTGTATCTTCAACACAATTATTTTGTTCACTATGGTACTTATTTGTTCTTTCATTAAACATTAACATTAGAAAAAATCTACTAAAATGAATGAAGCATTGGTTAATGCTAATATTTTCTATAATGAGGGAAATATGAAATTTGAAATGCACGTCAACTAATTGCACCATCGTAGCCTCAGCTTTACCTTGCTGTCTCTGAAAGCAGTAGCACCATTCGTTGTTAGATATCAAACTGTCCTTGTACGTGTCACAAGAATTGAAGAACGCCTTGGTGCACTGTTCATTCTTATCAAGATATATGCTCCCAAGCTCTGATTGGTCCAATAGCAGGTCGTAGTTTGTATCAAGTCTATTAAACATCCATCCAAGTGAATCCTTGCAAATTGGCAAAATACTGGTATCAAATCCTACATGCATAGAGAATATTATTAGTTCAGTATGTGAAAAACCATCATCAGGAAGTAAAATAAATCACTAATATGGGAAAGATCAGAGTGGAAGTACTGGTAGTCGTAAATGCAATATTTTAAGTTCAACTTGGGAAATTTGCTTCAAGGTACATAAGGCATAAAAAGGTCTACCGGTAGTTTTGAATATTAACTAACCAGACAACATTTGTCACTAATTAGTCACCGTTTCATGGAATGTGGTATTGCCATTATATGCTACTTATGCTAATCTCTGTTTAAGCTTCTCTGATACTAGATCATTATAAGTTCCAATACATATGGATAACAAAAGCTGATAAAATCCATTTTCATATGAAGAAATTAAGAATACTGTTTATACAAAATCATTACTAACACATACTAGATAACAGTTCCGAGGTATCCTACACATTGATAAAACTACAGTGATTGTAGCATTGCACATAAAACTATTAATAAGAGAAGGAATAGCTATGGTGCAATATTATTCATTCTGACTTCAGTTCCTCTTGTAGTTATTTTTACAATTACCATTGTTGTATAATGAAAAGTAACAGGTTGTACTGGAGAGTAGTAGTAGAGCTCATGAAATGACTGAACTGGGTTGTATCCAAGCTATGTGCTATTAGACATGTGTTCATTCACTAATCTTACTGAAGCCGTAAATCCTATACTTCATAAAATTCCACCAATGATTTGAACCATTGAAATATTACCCCCCAAAATATGAAAAAATAATACAGTTTCTCCAACTGAGTCTTGATTATATGAGACATGAAATGCCACTCAGTTTTTAATAAGAAGAATCCAATTAAAGTTCTTCATGAGTTGCTATAGGTTGAGGAGGTTCTACCACAAGAATAAGTAACTCCTGAAAGTCAGATAAAGAAGTTCATTCCCTTTATTGACACCTTTACATGGGGTTCAGACAAAGATCTGAAGGAAGGCAAGGCAGGAATATAGAAAAAGTAACTGAGAATTGAAGGTGGGCATGAACAAAATATAAAAGCACCTCCATCCACCTTTTAATCTCCTATAAAATTCCTTAGTTTCTTAGAAAAGAGATGACTCCCCATCTCCCCATCTCCTCAACCCATCACAACCCCCCTGCTCCCAACTTTTGCCCGGCTATCTTGTCTACTTTCAATATCCAGGAGGATAACTATATGTATTTCTTTGGGTTCACCTTCTTATTTAGCTTCTCTAGGATCACAAACTATAGGCTCAATGTCCTTTGTTAATGGCTAGAATACACTTATGAGTGTGTACATACCATATTCCCCTTTTTGCTTTCAATATCAAACTGATTGCCTCATTGGGCTTAACCAACTGTAGGCCACTGAGAGCAGTGAATAATACATCTTTATGCATACATCCTTACAAATCATCCCTAATTTCACTTTGATTAAAATATTCTTAAAGATGAAGTAAAACACGTTTCTCAGTTTTCACATTCTAATATTATCCTGGGGATGAGAATTACTCAGTATTATTTGGAAATTTATTTACCTAGCTGTATTTTTTTCAACTTCTTTACCATAATGTGGTTTCTGCTTTAAGAGCACTAATCTGAGCTTCATAGTTGCTTTAAAACAACTGTACAACAGACAACAGAGGTTCAGGTTAAAATGCATATGATGAGCCAGGTGCTAGTGGTACATGCCTATATTCCTAGCACTCAGAAGATAGAGGCAGGTGGACCACTATGAGTTTGATGTTAGCCTGGTCTACAAAGTGAGTTCCAGGAAAGTCAGGACTGTTACATGGAGAATCTCTGTCTTGGAAAAAAAAATCATGTGAATAAAAAAATAAAAAGAAAAAAAAGAAAAAAAAAGAAAAGAAAGAAAGGAAGAAAGAAAGAAAAGAGATGACTGTCATCATGACACTCTCCTTCAGCCAGAGAACAAACTGAAGCAAAAAAATGGAACTGATTCTATTACTAAGAAACACTTGGGAGAATATCTTGATTTCTGAGCTGTAGGGGCTCAGACACTGAGGAGGGGCAGTGTCTCTGAGAAAGGAGAGAAAACTAGAGTAGAAGGAGACAGAAAAGACTGTGAAAAAAAGCTATGTACCATCACCAAACAGCCTAATACAGACGTAATTATTGGACACAGAGAAAAGGAGGATTATAAAATAGAAGAGATGGCTCAGGGAACAGTGGAGAGATCTCTACAACTAATGGATATTATCTGATTATAGAGAGAAGAATCTAATAGAATACAATACTTGACAAATACCAAGCAAATAAATTACAAAGAAAATTTGGCACATTATAGTTAAATTTACTTTAAAGAAATCACAACAAGGAATTTTCAAAGAGAGGTAGAAGCAAAATTCATGTTCCTATTATTCTCAGCATATGGGTATCTATCCCCACAGGAGTCGCATGTCAGACATTTACACAACAAATCACAACATCAAACTATTACAAATCATTATGTTTTTGATTTGTATAAATGTATAAACAATTTACATTTAATTTATACATTTCCCTTTGTTTTAGCTATTAATTTTTGAACATTTTAAGATACCTTCTAGTCAAATATTCAACTTTTTTTTCCTGAAGTGATACTTTGCCTTGTTCTCTTTGCCATTATTACTGGGGTAAGGTGAAATTTCAAAGTTGTTTAAGATTTTCATTCTCCTAATTGATAGGGATAATGAATATTTTGTTTTGTTTTGTTTTGCTATCTACTTTAAACTAAGTTCAGATTCTTATATAAAGCCATCCTGAAAACAATAAACTATTTTAGTTAGGAAGAAAGCTATTACTTTGTTAGAGATATGACAATTGAAAAGTTTCATTTACCCAGTAATCAGAAATTTATTATGAATAGAAATTTTCTAGTGGATGCTAAATTTTCTGAGGGTAATGCCAATTCCCACTCTTTGGTGTGTAGTGTTCCTGAGCCTCGGAATGGACCCACAGTTGACTGTGCTGTCAGGTCAATGAGTCATTTCTGGAAGAATAAAGCAATGTAATAGCTTTATTGCACTAAATAAGCTTCACATAAATTTATAATTACATATTCAAATACATAGGCTAAAAGTACCCCAAACTATTAGATGCTATTTGATCAAAATTGCAACATCACTTAGCAGTGGTATGGTACGTAATTAAATTTCATTATAGAGAAAGTTATATCTTCCTAATAAAAGAAGAAAATGCCAGATGTCTCAATAATTAGAAACACCAAAATAAGCAATGATCTTGTTGTTTTATTTTATTACTTGAAATGAGGAAAGGAAATTTATCTCCTAACTTTAGATGTTTGTTTTCAATAAATGAATTTCCATGTTATACCTAGAAGGCGCCTATTTCATTAAAATGGGACATTATTTTTAAGCCATCTGATTCCAAATTCAATCTTCCTCTCAATGTGAGGACAGCATGACACAAAGTGAGCAATATTGTGGTAAGGAATTAGAATGCTTTCGTATAGCCTGGGGGTTGAAATAACTCCATCATTTTCTCTCACTGCGAGAACATTTGGTGTGTGAGAAGTGATGTAAAACATCATCAGGTTCTGAGAGTAGGCTCTTTATCTGAGGATTTTGCATATAATGATCATCTCTTCCATGCTTTCCAAGCTGATACAAGAAAATAAATGCCACACTCCTTTCATAGTTGTATAAAAGCTCTATTACAATCTATTAAAAGATTCCCAGCATATTTCTTTTGCTATTATTTTTTTAATTTAGAGAATAAAATAAAATCTTGGGATATCAATTAAATGCACAGGTTACTTTATATTATAAAAACAAAATCTGCAACTCAAGTAACACACTCAGTAATGTTGATTGATAGTGAGTCACTCAGATAAGCGACTTCTCCATTCTTGGTGCAACCACATTTTATATTAATGGTGTCATTGCATTTAAAGGGAATCAAACATCCTGACACTTAAGTCTCAAGACATGACTCTATTTCTGTCTTGTTTCTAATAGACTTGCTACTGGATATCAATGATTGTATTAGCTATTTTTCTAATAGCTGTATGAAAGCAACTGGCAAAAGCAATGCAAAGAAGAAAGGGTGTCTTTTAGCTTGTAGATTGAGTGTAGAGTCCATCACAGCAGGGAAGGCATAATGCCAAGAAACACTTCTAACTCTGGTGGCAGGAGGAAAAACTGTACACATGTGGCCACTATCAGAAATAGATTTATGCAAATATTCAACTCTTTTATCCTTTTTTCTTTATTTTGTTTAGATTCTTAGTCAATAGGATATTGTTATAAACATCTGAGGTGGGACTTTTTTTAGTTAAGTATCTCTGTAGATGCCCCAGAGAGGTGTATCTCTCTGGTAATTTTAAATCCTGGCTAATTTATAATAAAGATTAAGCGCAAATTGACCCCTTGTCACCTTCACAGCCAAACAGATCACTTTTAAATGATAAAATTTTCTCCCTTTTCCACCAAGAGGCTCCTAATGTAAAATGTGTTTAAGCGGTTCAAAAGTCCACATATTTATCATCAGTCTCAAGACTGTCCAAAATTTCTCAGTTGAAGCCAGTCCCTTGACTCAAAGCTGCCTCTTATCTATGAGATAACATACTGTTGCAGGCAACGACACCTAACATACAATGATACAGGACTGGTATTATCATTCCAAAATGAGAAAATGGAGGATAGCAAAGAAAGACTAGACAGAAGAAACACCAAAATCCAGCAGGGAATAGCCAAACCCTACAGCTCTGGATCTGCATCTGAGAATTGTGATGGCTTCATTTGGGCTCCAGTTCTGCCACTTACAATACACATAACTCTCTATGGTCTGACTCCCTCACCCCTCCTGCTCTTTCCCTGGACGCTGGATATTCCACCATCCTGGTAACTTCAATGAAACATAGTTGCCATCTTCATGGAATGACTACTCAGTAACTCCTTCTAGTGACTATGACCTTGTAACTCAACCTGATTCACCTTTCTGGGGTATCCATGCAAGGTTATACTACTTCCTAACTCTTACATTG